ATAATTATATATATATTGTATATAGGTAATGATTATCTAAAAATAAACTATTTTAGTAAGTTTCTTTGCTGTTTTTCTTTTACTCTGTTAAATATACTTATAAGTATGGAAAAGTAAAAATTGATAGTGTGGACATCGTCTAACAAAACCTTGAATAATGTGAACATTAATTATGGTAGGCAACCGACATAGTAAAATGAAACAATGCCCAAGTCAGAGAAAAAGTCATAAAAAAAATGACTGATTTCTTTGCCAGAATTTGATATTTTATTAGTTTTTTGTACTTGATTCCTGTTAATGCATATGCATTGGTACTTTATATTTGTATACATTCTATTTCTTTAAACAGATGTTTATTAACATTCGCTAATGTATAATGTAAGCAACTGTTCTCCAATTCTTCATAAAAACATGCAAAGTTTCAGTCAAGTGGTGTATTTTAATGTACATTTATCAATAATTAACTTATTTGCATGGCATTCAATATTTGATATAACATCATGTGAGCATGGATAGTATTTTAATTGAACAAGTCAGTGGTTGTTGAGGTTTTAAACGCTAGTCTTATGTAGATATATATTTTTTTCTTAAGATTAAGCTGTTTTATTTTTCTAACTCCAAAATTGAAGTGCTCCCTAAATAAATAAATGCAACAAATGTTGAGTATCAAATTCCAAATGTTTCTGTAAACTTATATGTATAAAAGGAAGTTGTGTTAATCACACTATTAACACTGTTATAACTCAAGAACGGCTGAACCGCTTTGGCTGAAAATTGGTAGGGAGGTAGCTTACAGCCAGGAGACGGACATAGGATACTTTTTATCCCATCCCCATGGGGGAAGGAGTGGCGAAGAGGAGTTGCAATGTTTAAATGGAACATATATTATTTGTCGTCAGATTTAGGTGAAACATGGTCTTAATGGTCTCTCATTTAATTTCTGAAAGACTTATCTCGAAATTTTTAAAAATCAACCTCCAAATGGGGGGGGGAGGTAAAAAGGTTGTTGCAATTTTTGTTTAGAACATACTTTAATTGTGATTGAATTTACTTGAAACTTGGTATATATGCTGTTTGATATTATTAATTAAATAAAAAGAGGTTGCAACGTTTCCAGGAGGTATATTTTATTTGTACGAAATCTGAGATGGCGACATTACATAAAATTAAAACGTTGTAATAGTGAATTGGGAATTAAAAGGTTTTATGGAGAAACAATATTAATTTCTGCGAGTGGATAAGCAATAAAAAAATACATGAGGAATATTCAATAGCAAATTTAAATGCTTTTTAAATTACTTCAACAGGAAACGTTAAGTATAGTTCTATAAAAACTCACTGAAATTAATCAGTAATGATACTATTAAACAACAGATGACAGCTACGACTACAATTGGATCTGATCGTTTGACAAATTTTAACACTTGACAGTTTTTTGCACCTTTATAGATTGGATAGGTATAGTCTGGGATTCCTAAGAGTTTTGTGTTTCACCTGTTATGTAGTTTTTTAATTAAAATTCTAAAGGCATCATTTATAAAGAAAAAGTAAGGAGAGTCTTTTCCGCAAATATGATGGCAGATCAAAGCTTTTCTCGTAGTGAATTAATAGGACTTGTGCTGCGGTTAACATTAGTTTCTGCTGTTACTTTTATTAGTATAAAATGGATAATGAATCAAGTAGATCCAACAAATAAAAGTAAAAAGAAAGCGAAACAGCGAGCCCAAGAACAACTTAAAAGGTAATAAGTAAATTTTGAAAAGAATAAGCATATATCAATATGTTTGTGTAGGTTAGCTGAAGGAAGTAAGCAAGCACCACTTTCGGTGGATAAATTAACAGACTATGAACTTATGATAGCTGCCCATTTAGTTCATCCAGAAGATATTAAAGTCGGGTGGAATGATATTGCTGGATTAGAATCCTTAATTCAAGATTTGAGAGAAACTGTAATATTGCCAATCCAGAAGAAAGAATTGTTCTTAGACTCGCAACTAACTCAACCACCTAAAGGAGTATTGCTACATGGTCCTCCAGGTTGTGGAAAAACTTTGATAGCAAAAGCAACAGCCAAAGAAGCAGGAACACGATTCATAAATTTAGATGTGTCCATCTTAACTGACAAATGGTATGGGGAAAGTCAGAAACTGGCAGCAGCAGTGTTTACTCTAGCTGTTAAATTACAGCCATGCATAATTTTTATTGATGAAATTGACTCCCTATTACGTGCTCGTAATTCAACAGACCATGAAGCCACAGCAATGATGAAGGCACAGTTTATGTCTTTTTGGGATGGGCTTATCACTGATTCAAACTGTACAGTAATTGTTATGGGAGCTACCAATAGACCTCAAGATCTAGACCGAGCTATCTTAAGGAGAATGCCAGCAGCATTCCATGTACCAATGCCAACAATGGCACAAAGGCTTCAAATTCTTAGCTTAATTTTACAAAATGAACCTACCGCTGATGATGTTAATATCTCGGAAGTTGCAAAAGCTACTGATGGCTTTTCAGGTTCTGATTTAAGAGAACTTTGCCGCAATGCTTCAGTTTATAGGGTGCGTGATTATATACGACAAAATAATGATGATAGAAGAAGCACCACTGGAACTTATACAGATTCAGAAGATGAATTCCATGATGCTTTAAGGCCGATTACCATGGATGATTTAGTTTCTTCTATGAAGAAAATGAAGGAGTCAAAAGTGCATTGTGGGATATTACCTGTTCGTTTAGACCTAGATTAGCATTGGCCAATTTGTGTAGATCATATTAGAAATTATAATTCTTATTTAGAATATTANTGAAAAAAAAAATAATGAAAGGGTGTAAATTTTAAAATACACCCACTTATACTTACATACTTTTTAATGGTTCGTTTGTGGAAGTCGTAGTATGTATGCCAAATATATATATAAAGGAAAACTAACTAAATAAACTATTACCCTATAGGTATATTTATACTTACACTAAAATTGCTTACTCCACAAAAAAAATCAAACTCATTGTAAAAAAGCTATTAAAGGGATGATACAAGAAAGTAAAAATTCTTATATTAAAAATAGGCCTACTTCAAATTGTTTTTTTTTTTAAATTACGACATTTTTCTTGCGAGAGCTTAAAATTTTGTTTTTACCTTTAAAAAACATTTTTCCATCTCCAATAATATCGACAACAATACTAACATATTAAAATCCCACGTGAATCAGAACACTCTGTATTGTCTGTTTGGTCAAAATTTACAAAAGCCTGAAGTTAATACAAATATTTCTAATTCTAATAATGTTTGTTTTTAAGTACATGTGCATGTTACAGTAAAAACTTTTATTTTTTTGTAAGGGTAATTTTTCTTCACACCGCCAATAGAAAAACCATTGGGGGTGGAAGTCAAAATACACAATAACAATAATAGTAGTAGGAGTAGTAATTACCACACGAAAAATTTAACATTATATTTACAAACACTTAACGAATATAGATCTAATGCACTAATAAAATTAAATCTTTAAAAATAAATTATTGAACGAAATTTCATTTTAGTCGCAGTTGATGCTGCTTGAAATAATTTTTTTAAATACAAAGGTAAAAAAAATTAAATCAAAAAAAGATTGTGAAAACAAGAAATGTTTTAAGTGCCAAGAAGCTTCTAAACGTTTTTTTTTATTTACACAATGAATCTGTGGGATTACATTTATTATTCTTCTTTTTAGTTAAAATGAAGAACAGTAAATTTTTATTTTTAGATGTGCAGTTATTCTCACGATTAATCTGTTGCAATTGCAATATTTTAAAAGTGGAGAACTAACCATCTACTTACTTGTTTCTTTTACCAATGGTACTTAGCACCAATAGGCATTTGATTTGCACATATCCCTGGCGCCATTTTTAAGTTATGTTTTAAGGTGGTGTATGTGAATCTGACACTTGATGCATAAAGAAATATTTTTCACAATGCCTATTATTTAGTAAATTACATAAAAATCAAAATTTTGTTTTAATCACTTCAAACTTGACAGTTGCATAGGTGGTATACATCTACAGACAGATATTTTTATAATTTTTGGCCAACAAAAGTACCTACACGATTTAGAAAAAGCATTGCTGTCATCTTTTATCCACATCACGTTAATAACGTTATATTTTTTATCGTATGCAACAGTAATAAACCAATAACGTAACAGACCATTTTGGTATCACCTATCATAAAGAACTTCCCTCTTACAACAAAATGACTAGGGGGGTTAAAATTTAAATTCGCAAACTCCCAAATTGTTAAATTATTTCGTTTTCTTATATACAAGTAAAGAGAAAAGGTGACATAATTTTGTGTATATTTAGAAAAAGGTATACACACACAGGTTTTTACGTAACTCGTTCATTAGAAGAGGTACTAATGTACTACTAGAGATTTGAAAATGTGGAAAATAAACTAAAAGGTAACGCTCTTTTTAATTAAAATATTCGGAACCGTCAGTCACTTCCGGAGATCGATATCAACTAGATTATTTTAAATGGAATGCTATATTTTTTGACATTTTTAAATTCAGCGAATCTTTTCAGATCGACTTTGACTATAACTCTTTCTAAAAATAAGTAGTTTTGGAAATATTTTCATTTTTCTGAAAATTTTGAAAATTCCCGTGCTAAGTAATGGACTATCCAGCTAATTTTGAAACTAAATTGAGTAATCAACTATTTCGTACTTATCTCTATCTGGAATTGTGCTCTTAGTATCGAAAATGTATACAGGATGTTGAAAATGTAGCGTCCAACTTATAAAACTTCGAACATGCTTACGTTGTTTTTTTTTTTTCAAATGGAACATCCTGTATATTATCTCACCAGTGAACGTAGAATTGAATTATGCGTCGATTGATATAAAAATTTCCTATACCTATGGGTAATGGTTTTTGAGTTCATCATCCTCAAATCGTTAGTCCTACGATTGGTTGCACACGTATCTCTACTCTTTCCTGTCCTAAGTTAATTTTCGCATTTCCCTAAAACTAGAACATCCCACATCCTTAACTACTAATGAACAATAGTCTAATCCAGGTCTACCTTTACTTCTCTTAACTCCTATTTCTGACTCTAATATGTTTCTAACTAGCCCTTGATGTCTGAGAAGGTGTCCTACCAACCTATCTTACCTATTGCTTATTGACTTCCGTAGAATCTTCTATTCTCCTATTCTTTCTAATGCCTCTTCGTTTCTAACCTTCTCTATCCGCGGTATCCTCATCATTCGCCTATAACACCACATTTCGAACGCTTCTAACCTTTTCTTTTCTGTTTTTGTTATAAGACATATTTGAAAAGTCTGCAATTATTACATTTTTAAATCCATGTCGCAACGGTCCACAGAATGTTGCTCAATCATAAATCCCATCCATATTCCTGTATTACTTTACAAGCATTTAGAGAATGGAATGATACAAGAATTGAATTTTGTGAATTTATGTTAGTACGGTTTCAAAATGATCCAACTTTCTTATACAAAATTATATGAACGGACGAAACTAAATTGACGAGGGAGAGCGTTGTAAATCGGAGAAACTTACACTTTTCGGACTTACATAATCTTCATCATAAATTTTGAGAGTTATATGGGAATAATAAGATGCGTTGTGTCTACGTTTTTGAAAAATTTGCCATTAGCATTGTTAAGAGATTGCTGGTGTATGGGGGAGGTGCATACAATACTAACCAACATGTTCGAAGATCGTTGGATTGGGAGTAACGACCTTTGGAAATGGCCCCCTAGGTCATCCGACTTAACCCCCTCGACTTCTATTTATGGGGTCATATAAAAAGTATGATGTATGATAATGCCCAGTTGATATCCTTCTGGAACTAGAAACAAGGATAAGAAGAACATGCACGGAATTAGACCCAATTCAAGTGAAGAAGGACTACAACCGACGAAGTGCATCGAAGGATAATCGAGTGCTTAAAAAGGAACAACAAAAGGACACTTTGAACATTTATAGTTTATTGCTCTTGTTTAGTTGTGTGCTGTGTTATTGTCATTGTGTTTTTAATATTCATATGTTATAGGTTTTTATTCGCCTGAATTTTGCTTTGCTCATTGGAGACACATTTAAATACCCCTGGTTGAAAAGACGACTAATCCTCTTTACAATTTTCTGACACTCCCCATAAATGTAAAATAAATTTAAAATATCGTTCTATTCCTTCTACATTTAGAAATCTCAACGCTATTGGAACTAATATAAAACATCTGACAGGATTTAAAAACGTAATAATGTAGGCTTTATTCAAAAATTTCTTATGACTAATAACTGATGGGTACAGGGAATCCTTATATCAATCGACGCAGAATTTAATTCTACGTTCATGATGATATAATATACAGTTCCACTTGAATAAAACGATTTAGGCTTGTTCTATGAGTAGCGCCCTAATATTTTCAACATCCTATTTCCGATAGTAAGGACACAGTGCCAGATAGAGATAAGTACGAGATAGCTGATATGACGACAGCAGTTTCATAATTAGTGAACAATCCATTTTTTAGCTTGGGAATGCAATTTTCAAAATTTTTAGAAAAATCGAAATATCTTGAAAACTACTAATTTTTGTTGATCTCCAAAGGTTCACTGAATCTAAAAATGTCATAAAAAAATATAGCATTGCATTTAAAATAAGCTAGCTAAATATTTTAATTGGAAAGAGCGTCAGCTTTTAGGTTATGTGCTGCACTTTCAAATGTCTAGTGGTAAGTACTTTAAGTTTACAAACTTTTAATGAACGGGTGACATCAATGGTAAAAAACTCTGTATTTACTTTGAATTCTTTGAAGGACAGTGTTTCAAAGTGTCTCAAGACCTAACCTAGCCTACGTATGCTATGTGCCTCAAAACTGGGACATAGAGCAACCATAGGTTCCTGTGATAAAATACTTTTATTAAGCTGAACTACCAAATAAAATTCGTTTTGTTTGGTTACTTAAAAACGCTTCATGCGATTTTAATAAAATTAAACACGTAGGTATGCATATGAAGTACTAATTTATGATGTGTTTAAAATACAGCAACTGCGACATATACTTAACTCTACAGTTCAAAACTTTTCTGGAGTGAAGGGTCGTTTCAAGTAATCGCTCCTAAGAAGTCAAACTCCGCTTTTAATGCTCTTAAATGCTCCCGCAAGAGCAATTAGGAGAGGTATGCAAATCTACTGTCGTCCTTTTTCGTCGTAAGCCAATAGAGACAGGTATAATCTCAAACAATACCTGTCTCTCTTTCTCCATAACCATAATCTTGGTTTAGTTACGGAGGGGGCTTGATTATAGAGGAAGACAGACAGATATCGCTCGGTTCTATATCTGTTTCTATTGCATAAAATGTACAAGTGTACCTGAAAATTCCGAAAAATGGTCTTTTCAGTTAGTTGCTCCTAAGAAGCCAAAGTTCGGCCAAACTCCGCTCCTAGATGCTCCTGCAAAAGCAAATGTGACTGGGAAGTGAATCTACTGTATAGAATCTTGATACTCAACGTGTTCGGCATCATTGATTACAACTGAACACAAGACGGCCGACAGAGGGCAATTTTGGGCAACTACATTAGCGTCTACACTGAATTATTGGTTAGTAGGGCACAAAAATATATAAATGCCTTTACTTTTTTATCAGTTCTGTAGGTTTGCATCACCTACACATCAGCCGCCCCTGCATACATAGATGAATGCACTTTTTATTAGCTTTGCTTTGCGAAGTGGAGCATTTCCCTAGAACTAGAACAACCCATATCCTTAACTATTTGCGAACAGTAATCTAATCTTAGTCTACCTTTACCCCTCCTAACTTCCGTTTCTGCCTCTAACATGTCTCTGACAAGACCCTCATGCCTGAGAAGGTGTCCTACTAACCTATCTCGCCCATTTCTTATTGACTTCCATAGAGTTCTCTGTTCTATTACTCTTTCTAATACCTCTTGATTTCTAACCTTCTCTATCCACGGTATCCTCATCATTCGCCTGTAACACCACATTTCGAACGCTTCTAACCTTTTCTTTTCCGGCGCCCACTGTCCAGGTTTCGCACCCGTAGAGCGTCGTGCTCCAAACATACACCTTTAACAACCTTTTTCGAATTTCTAAATGAACCGTTCGCGAGCATAGAAATGACTTCTTTTTATTGAAGGCGATTCGATCCTGCGCTATCGTCTGCTTTATATCCCTACTACTCCTTTCGTCCTGATTTATCTGACTTCCTAGATACCTAAAATCGGCCACTTCTAATTTTTCTAATCTTTATATTCGCTCTTTCCCTACTTTTCCTTCCCTTGCATACCAGTATTTTTGTTTTGTTGTATTTGTAATTATATTTTTTAAATTTTAACTTGACCACTGAATAAAAATCAACACATATCTTTTTTACTTTAATGTTGCTGTCTAGAAAAACCGGCGATGATTTAGGTTTTTATTAAAGGGGAATTGGATAAAAAGAAACACACATAAAAAATTTTGTTTGTTTATTAGCTCCTAATAAGTATTCTATTCAGATCTAGATGTGAAAAAACATCGCCTAAAATGAAAACAACTGACGAAGTTTCACACTAACTAAAAAATTCACATATCACAAGCTATAGTACTATATAAAAATTTAACTTTACAGTATTAATGCAATATACATTTACGTTAAAGTCAATATATAAAAATAATATTCGTTCAGAAACTATTACTATAAGGTAAAACCTATCACATTTATATCTTAAAGATAAGTAGTAAAATTTGTTTTGGAGTAGGTCGATATTGTTAAAAAATAAGTCGTCGTTACAGTTGTACAGGATTTTTTATTTTATCAACAGTCTGGTTGAGGCTTGTCCTCGGTCAGTTAAAAATATTATAAAACAATCAATAAAAGAAACAAAACAAATTTTACTAAAACACATAACTACACGACAAATCAGTGTGTTTTTTTCAAACGTTCATTTTTTATATACTTATATATATTTGTATAAATATATATAATTTATTTTGAAAAACAGGAGTGCTTGCATATTACATACGGTGCCCTGTTCAGGCGAGATCAGCTGAAAGTATTGTTCGCATATTGAGGAGACAGAAAACTATAAAATAATACATAAATTTTACCTAATTTATTAACAGAACTAAAAGTTAAAAATACTAGTTCGTATTAAGTATTCAGTAATGCGTAAAAAATTAATATAGAGGTTACAAAATTGATTTTTTCACAAAATGCATTCAGGGACACATTATGAGTAAAATTTTAAGATAATTTTAAAATGCTACTTACAACTGATCCAATTTAATTTTATTAACCTCCTGGTTTCTTTTTCTCTATTTCTTCTAATTAACCTGATAATAATTTCTTAGTGAATTGATTTATTTCTGTGTGGAATAATGAACTTGAAAAAAAAAATAATGAAAGGGTGTAAATTTTAAAATACACCCACTTATACTTACATACTTTTTAATGGTTCGTTTGTGGAAGTCGTAGTATGTATGCCAAATATATATATAAAGGAAAACTAACTAAATAAACTATTACCCTATAGGTATATTTATACTTACACTAAAATTGCTTACTCCACAAAAAAAATCAAACTCATTGTAAAAAAGCTATTAAAGGGATGATACAAGAAAGTAAAAATTCTTATATTAAAAATAGGCCTACTTCAAATTGTTTTTTTTTTTAAATTACGACATTTTTCTTGCGAGAGCTTAAAATTTTGTTTTTACCTTTAAAAAACATTTTTCCATCTCCAATAATATCGACAACAATACTAACATATTAAAATCCCACGTGAATCAGAACACTCTGTATTGTCTGTTTGGTCAAAATTTACAAAAGCCTGAAGTTAATACAAATATTTCTAATTCTAATAATGTTTGTTTTTAAGTACATGTGCATGTTACAGTAAAAACTTTTATTTTTTTGTAAGGGTAATTTTTCTTCACACCGCCAATAGAAAAACCATTGGGGGTGGAAGTCAAAATACACAATAACAATAATAGTAGTAGGAGTAGTAATTACCACACGAAAAATTTAACATTATATTTACAAACACTTAACGAATATAGATCTAATGCACTAATAAAATTAAATCTTTAAAAATAAATTATTGAACGAAATTATTCAACAGCCTTGTTAAGAAAATAAGAAAAATTAGGGAAAATTTGTTTTTATTCTTTTAAGCCTTAACAAATGATGTAGCTGTTCTTCTTTATCGACTTATACTTTCAAATAATAGGCGATAATTTCTGCGCGCCATAATAAAGTAAACAAATTCCCCCTAATTAACACATTACATACAATAATATTTATAAATCAATAAGTTGTAGTGCAAAAATTCTAAGTTAATGTCAAAATATTTTGCAACATCGCATCGCTGGCATAATATACTTGTGTTAAGGTAACCAAAATGCAATTGGCAAGATATAAATATAAACCTTGAGATCAGTAATTTGAACAATTTGTACTTCAAAATTAAATAATATAAATTTAAATTAAGACAATTTATGCTATCTTTTTTTGAACCTATTACTCTTTTTTTGTTTGCTTCCAGAAAATAATCTTCACTGGGCGAGTGTTTAAGAAATCGTTACTTTTTTATTTTAAATTCAAATAATTCAATATATATGCACACAGATAGGGTCGTTCTTGAAGAAAAAGCGGGTTGATATATAAAATAAAGCGATTAAAAAATTAAGGGTCCAGTGTTAATATATTATTATTGTTCTGCATATATGTATGTGTATCAAAATTGCAAGTATTTATTTGAGAAATACTTAAGGAGGTACATTACTGTCAAATTTCTCAAATGAAAAATAAATTGTTTAAATTCGAGAGACACCCTAAATAGTAAGAGTTTAGTATTTTTCTATTTTTTTATGGAAGACATCATTTTCGAATTAAAAATAAAGTTTAAAATAAGCAAAGTGACATGTTTTGGGCCATTTTGCCTTATTTGTATACCAAGACTTGGCTTAACAATAAATTAAAAAAAAAAAAAGAAAACCCCAAGCGTTCTATTAACGATTAATGGAATATAGAGGCGATGAACGAATTAAAACAAATAAAAAATAAAAAACAGTAAAAATGAACGCACGACAATATAATATAAGTATATACAAATCACGTGATGACAATACATGCACTCCGTTTGTACCATTCGAACTTGGCCCACTCATAAGTAGGTTGATTCACCTGGAATTGTTAATTAGAAATCGTTACAAGTGAGCCAATAAAACTTAATAGAAACTGAAGCAACATCAAATAAACCTTATGAAATGCCACATGGAGTCGCACAATATTCAAATAAAATAACACTAATATAGAAAAAAGTATGCAAGACAAATTTAATTATCTAAAATAAAATGAAAAAACTAGTCAGCTGAAGTTGTACGTTTTGTATTTTTCAGATTAATTATCATAATTGAATTTACTCATACTTAAAATATTATCCAAACATTTGCACTCTTTTTTTTTAAGGTGTGATAGGTTGCCCTTTGTAGGTCCTTGCCGAATATGCAATTGCCTCAGCTTTAACAAATTATTAATTGTTTAAGTATTTTNAAGATTTAATCAAATTTTATTTGAGACGTAAATAAAATTAATGTTTTAGAAAACGTACGGTTAGTACCATCAACAGAAGAAGCACAAAAAAAGTATAAAACATTACTTGATCGGGAGTGTTTATACACCCAGCATACTATCACCAGTAATAAAAAAAATTGAGGTCAATTCGACATGGACTGATTTACTGCTTCTATGTAGAATCGACAGTTTTATAACAACCATTCATATAATAAGCGAAAAGTAATTTTGATGTTAACTGAATAAAAAATTAACGTTTGCATGTTTTAATGTTTTTTTCGATATTTATTCTACACCTATGCAAATAAATGTAAATTGAGATATCCCATCTAAATATCGAAGGCTTATTAAAATTATTTTTTAGTGAACATATTTTTGTTATGATGAGTGACCATTATTGATTTTTAAACTTTATAAAAGTTAATTTATGTTAATTTTGCAAAAGGTATCTAATTTTTTAACTATCTTTCTGCTTTTTATTTCTTATTGTGAATTTAATGGAACTAGAACACTGTTAAGTACCAACGTTAAAAATTAAAAGACTACTATTAGTTCTGCCCGAATTCATTTCAAAAATTTTTGCCCAAACTGCTACAGTTATATCTTCTTGTTTTATTAAGAATCACCCAATGAGGGAATTAGGAAAATTAAATATTTTACACGCTAAGCAATGTGTGTAACTGTCGATCAATATTTATGAATTAATTTGGGTATATTATCATTTGCGAAAATAAAAAAAATCATTGAAGGATATTTATTCCTTCATGTAATAAAAAACATTGCAAAAATCACTGTTATTCTAATTATTTTATGATATTGTACTACACATCGTAGACAACGTAACTCAATTATGTCAAAAGTTTTAATTATCTTAAATATTTAAAATATTTCATTTCCGTTTTCATTGTTTATTTATACAAGTAACAATATTGTTTAAAATTAATTATTTAAATATATGTACGACTCCATTTAGACTCCTTCCTCACTAAGAAACCCAATTCTACTATTCTAAATTCTATTAGGACATAACAACAAAACTTGAAGAAAAGTAAACTAAGTTGGGTTGTTATAATAAATAATTAACCATCCCATAGTAAATTCGTTCGTGCAAAATGATCTGAATGTTTCTATAACGCATCTATATGTGATAATTACATAGATGGTGACCTCACACAACTAAAAAATTAACCGTGATTAATATATATGATGACTATGAAACCGAGTTCACGATTACTTTTTCAGTTTTGCAATTACACCCACACAAAAACCAGCAAAATGGAATTAAAAAGGATGAAAATGGCATGAATACAAGGAAAGCATAAGTTAAGACTGTGTAGATAAATAGCTCTAGTTCGATGTCAGACATGTTAACATTTAGAACAATGTCCAAAATTTCAAATTGCAAAATACTCAAAATTTCAAATTGCAAAATACTATTATTTTGATTTTTAATTAATTAATTTTGTTATTAAATTAGCTCACTTTTATTTAGTTTTGATTACGGATCTACTATATTTAGTCGTTCTTTATTAAATTGATGAGCATTTCTATAAAAAAGAAGGATACGTTTGAAATGAAAGCCATCTTAATTTTCTTTTCTAGTTTTAGTCATGCTGTGATAAATAACAAAATGAAAATATATTAACATTTTTAAAAACTGATAATTTTTGTCAACGAGATAAGGAAATTAAAACAAGAAATATAATATTGCCTCAAAACGTTATATTGTTGAGAGAATCTAACCTCAAATTCTAAAAAATGATATTGACCTTTTTATGAGCATTTCTACGAGAGTTAAATGACAAAATAACAAAGTGGGTGACCACTCTACTAATATTTTACCGTCGAATTACAATCTGGCCTCAAGATTGTCCCCAGAGCTGGATGTATATGTGGGCTTTTCGGGAAGTCCAGAGCCCCGGGGGTATGAAGGGCTCGCAGCAGTGGATAATATTGTGAATTTAGAAAATAAAAAAATAATCTAATGTTTTATAATTTATATAACAGAACTACAAACAATTGCCCCAATTGTTTTCCTATCATTACAGAAAATAGTTTTTTGACAAAATGGTAATTAGTTTGATTAATTAGGTAAGCCTCCAAGTAGGGTTAGCCCAGGGACCCCTTATTCCTGATTGTCCTAGTATATCAAAATTTTAAAATGTCCTAGCTTTAAGATCTGAAATACATCAATTTGACTTGTTCAGTTTTTAGGTTAGGATATTTCAAAATTTCAATATGCTAGAGCATTTCTGGGTCCGAATTTAAGTTTACCGTCGAAGTATACATCAAAAATGATTACTTCCATTTCTTTTTAATTTTTTATTCAACTCTTTAGTAATGGTTCGAAAAAAAAAGTCAAAAAATTTGTCAAAACGTAGACCTGTTGGGCAATTCTAAGGCCAAATTCTAATTAATTTCTAATTTTCCCTTATTTGTTATGTTCGTTTCCTTCTCGTAGTAATGATATCCAAAAGGGTAAAAATTGAATTTTTGAAGTTAGGATATTTTAAAATCTTGACGTATTGTGGCAATTATAAGATTAAATTTGTACCAGATTAATAGTGGCGTATTAATTAATCTGCATATTTTACTTATCACGTATTCTTGAAGATTTAATCAAATTTTATTTGAGACGTAAATAAAATTAATGTTTTAGAAAACGTACGGTTAGTACCATCAACAGAAGAAGCACAAAAAAAGTAGAAAACATTACTTGATCGGGAGTGTTTATACACCCAGCATACTATCACCAGTAATAAAAAAAATTGAGGTCAATTCGACATGGACTGATTTACTGCTTCTATGTAGAATCGACAGTTTTATAACAACCATTCATATAATAAGCGAAAAGTAATTTTGATGTTAACTGAATAAAAAATTAACGTTTGCATGTTTTAATGTTTTTTTCGATATTTATTCTACACCTATGCAAATAAATGTAAATTGAGATATCCCATCTAAATATCGAAGGCTTATTAAAATTATTTTTTAGTGAACATATTTTTGTTATGATGAGTGACCATTATTGATTTTTAAACATATTATTACGAACAAAATTATATAAAATTGATGATGATTAGTTGAATTTAGAACAATTAAGACATTAAAAAAAATCCGAATAAATTATGAGATTGAATAACAAGCACATGTGCCAAGAGCAATTCGTTTTATATATTATTATCAAAGAAATATTTTCCACATCCAATAAAAAAATCTACTACCCAATTTTGTACTCTATATTTTAGAAAAGTGCATGGATGAAAAATTTATGTACAAAAGTTACATCATATAATACATGGCACCAACTAGTCTAGCGTAACACTTAAATGACATACATAGCGTTTATAAAATTAATAATTATTCAGAAAAAGATAATAAATAAAAATAGACGCATATACCTAATATTATTCGTGTTTTTAATGAACTTTTTAGATTTTACAAATCAATTAACGTTAATTTTTAGAAATCAACCAATCTTAATTGGATCGAGAAAGTGTTTTATAGAATTTTTTAATAAAATGTAGTTATCGTTAAATATGGACTTGTATATTTGTCTCAGTAACTTTTGAATATTTTAAAACCATGTTTTTTAGCAAAATGTATGTAGTTAATGCATGTACAGTAAAAAATTACTTTGGTAATCAGAATATAAAACGTAAAAATATGAAATAGAGTGATAGTAGTTTTGGACATTTACCAGTTTTACATTTCGCCAAACCTAGTGTTACACCAAAGAATACTGACAAACGCTAAAACTGCGATTTTTTTGAGTACACCAAAATTATTATTACACATTCCTACGTCTAGTATGTTCTGTCCAGCTTTTATATATCAGTTTCTATTAGAAAATACGAATATCTACAATTGTATACAAAAGAATTGCTGTGAACTAAAAATTTCAGCAGAAGTCGGTTATAACGTCACCCTACAACTCTGTGATATTTTGACGTAATCACCGAATGCCGTTTTTCGTCACAATCTAAGAAGCATATTTCGCAATAATTATGCATCAAATGGTAAGCAGAATTAACGATGAGATATAAATACTCGGGTCTCTGTAATAAATGCCAACAAAGGACAGGTATCTTTTCTAACATTACATTAGAGCTGTTGTTATAACCGACGCCGTTACAACCAAGTTCCATTGTAATTCTTTGAATAACGATTAATGCATTCGGGAAACACAACTAAAGTAGGCATTCCAGTTTACTATTTCGTAAGTAGTTGATAGTTCTACGATACTTCCGTTGAATAATTACCTTTTTAAACACTTAATCAAGATTTACAAGTACTCAGAAAAATTTATATTAATTTAGACAACACAGTAATAACAATAATCATTATTATTATTTTAGTTATTATATTATGTATTACACACATTTTGTTTATAAAAACAGAACTTCGAAATGAAATCGAATGTTTTCTTTATTTCAGAAGACTCCAACCCTAATTAAGCTATTGAAAAGTATATAAGATACTCATGGAGCTATCAATGACTACAGTAAATCGGAATGACTAAAGCGAAGGCAGCGGCGCTAAATTTCTTTTTTTTAATCGACTTTTTAATTAAGTTTGTCCCAGCTGTATCGTTTAATTTTAATATGCAAGTTATTAATTGACAAAAAATGATTTTGAAGAAAATAGGTTTTTAATTATTAAAATGTTTTTTAATTTATTTTGATTTGTTTCACCGAAGCTAAAAACTCCTTTTTTTTTATTAAATTACATTAGTGTCCGACCGAAAGTTCGGTTTCGGTTTCGGCAAAAAAACGAGTTTCGGTTTCGGCGGCAAACCTGCCGAAACTACAACCGAAACCGAAACTGCGTTCGGGAGTTCTCGCGCTCTGCTCGGTCATGTTCGGCGCGTTAAATTCCATCCAAGCGAAGTATATTAGTAGACATAGACATAAAAAAGCATGAATAATCTTCAAAAGAAAAATGAGTCTAGTCTACTATACTTACTCAAATAAACATCTCACCTATTTTAAGTATTTTTAAGGCGCAATTAAAGTTTTTCCTTAAATGAGGGGTTATTATGTTGATTTTGATTTGATTATCAATAAGTGAAAATGTCAAAGACTGCAGAGCTATGTGATTTAAAGATAAAAAAATAAAACTGACTGATTATAATAACGTTTTCTTTATTTTTCTCTCGAAACTTCATCCTTATAAGGAAGTTTCGGTTTCGGTTTCGGTCGTAAAAACCAGTTTCGGTCGGACACTAAATTACATATATAATTAGAGAGAAAATATTGCAATCCGTATTTATTTTTAATTCAGAACAATCTAAATTAACCATAACCTAACTTTTCAAAAGGTGCGTAATTTCCTTTAGGTTATATACCCCTTCAATGTTATGGCTATGGCTATTTTAGGTTGCCATCATTTTATTTAATTATGTAACCGAATTTTTTAAACAAATAAGGCAAATTAAAAAGTATTAATACCATTTTTTGTTATAATGCTTCAGCAAGTAATAACTAATTAATGCTAAAAGATACAACTGATACATCGCATATTCATTAAAAAGTAAAAAATAATAAAAACCTTGCAGCGCCACCTTCGCCTTGGTTATACGGGAATGTCTAGTTTAACTGCGCTTTAATGTAATACTTGATGCATTAAACATATAAACCACATAATTTATAGTTCACAGTGATTCTTTTTTGTATGCAAGTGGGCACATTCATATTTTTCAGTGGAATAAAATATATTCCAATTCAAGAGAATTTTGACTGGCAAGGCAGCTGGACAAAAAAAACTGGAAACAATTATGGTGGAAATACGTAGACTATGTTAAAAATTTAGGAATCCCAAAAATAGCAGTTCTGGCATTCAATGTGGCACACAGTAGTTTTTGGTTCTATTAACACTATCTTTGGTGAGATTACTTTAATTTTGCTTTATGTTGATTTCTTTTCCTCTTTTAAAAGGTTACGTAAATATTTCCGGTGAAAAAGGCAGCACAGAAGAGAATAGAAAAGAATTTAATGAAATATTTCGAAAATATAGAAAAAGAATGTTTCGTATTTATAGTAGTATTGTGACAGTAGCAAAAGAGAGTTGGTGTTCATGCTGTGAGCAGCTCTTGCTGTTGTTGATCGGCAGAAGTATGAGCCAGTTGAGAAGCCAGATCACATTCCGAGAGAAGCCTATATCCTATACCTCTTGGATCTACATCCTCACCCTCTAAAACTACGACAAGATAGCCCAATGTTAGTCTTTTATGCATCTTTCACCACCACGAAATATTTCAGGGCAGTCACGTGACTCATAGATTAAAGAGTTATGTTATGTACCTCATAATCATATTCTGTATAGATGGGGACATCAAAAAGTTGTTTATCACCTTCCCATTATTTCTAGAATTAAACAGAATCGTGTAGACGTTCATAGATTCTGCAATAATCTATCAGGTTTTAAAAACTCACAAAGTTAATTTTAATGACCATTCGAAACTGATATGCTGATTAAATTTATTATGTAACTCAAAAACTGGTTCCATTTATTAATGCGTAAAAAATATATTAATTCAAATTTAAAGGAAAAAAAAAACATTAGCAATGTTAATAGTTTTTGAAAAAAAAAACTAAAGAACGTAATTATTTTCTTTTGTTGTGAATAAATACATCGATTAAAATAATTCGAAGTGGTCTGTATTCTGTCGAAACTGCTAGACGCGGATCTCATCGCAGGCAGCTCCGACAGAACACAGACCAACTTTTACCTGCTGTCTTAACAGCGCGTTTTAGAAAATACCACAAATGGCGCGGTAAACGCCATCTGTAGTACGATGCTACATTACAGACCAATTTTTACCTGCTGTCTTAACAGCGCGTTTTAGAAAATACCACAAATGGCGCGGTAAACGCCATCTGTAGTACGATGCTACATTTTAAGATTACGTATGCTCCAACAAGGTCCATTTAAATATATGGATATCTACTTGCTGAAACGAATCTCGGCGTAGCTAACCTCATCGTGATAGACACGTTACCATAATAGAATAAACTAATTCGAAGTGGTCTGTATTCTGTCAAAACTGATGTGGTGTGATAAGTAGAAAGTTAATTGATTAAATTTTAGATTTATCTATTTATTTTTCATTTTCATTCCCGGATAAGCAATTAGTTTTCCTCAATAAAAAAGATTAGTAGGTACATTTTGAAAACAATTTCACATTATGTCAAGAAATATGTAATCAGGTGGTAGATGAGTGAGAACAGCCTCATTCATAATTTTCCTTTTTTCCTGAGTACCAGTGACAGCCCTTGTGTGATGTAATTCTCATAGTGCGGTACGTTTTTAGTACAGTAATGAAAGAAAGCAACGAATGATTAATGAAAGCTGAAGACACAAACAGGTATTATGCAATACTTTTTTATTGCAAATAGCATGATATTCGACAAATAAGGCCAACAGTTTACATTGCTAAAGAAGAAAATAGGTCTAGTAGAAAGAAAAACGTTACAAATCTAAAAATCTACTAGTACCATCATTCAGCTTTTTTGCGATCTATATAAATAATCACAATTAAATGTCTACATGATTAAATAATGGGCACAGACATTTTTTCTGCAGAAAATTGCAAACAAATAAAACAACAATAGTGTCAAAAGTTGTTTCACAGATAGAAAATCTGAATTGTGTGACTAGACAAAAGCAATGATAAAAAAAAGATTAGATACGAACTTAAAAACATTTTGAAAAATAATAAAAAATTAAAAAATCAGTATGTTTTTGGGATTTTATGAATTTTTACAATTTTTTTAGGACAATATAATGACTGTCTGTTTTATGTAATAATTTTTGTTATTTTTTTGGATTTTTGATACCTCAACCTTCGAAAACAAAAAAGGTTCATTGTAGAAAAAAATACAAAATAAATAACAAAAATTTCATGCCTGACGAAACCAAGAAAGAATGCTTTCTTTAGGTTCGCTTTACCAAGAAATATTTAAATTTGTACCTACCTATCTCAGGGAAAATACGAAGGTTGCAGATAAAAGATATATTTATTAAAATATGTCTTTAAATAACAGCATTTTGCTAAATGAGAAAGAAAGAAAGACAGAGAGAAAAAAGAGAAAGAGAGAGCGCAAAGACTGACAGAAAAAAGAAAACTTAGAAGAAAAATCTCATCCACCTTCGTACGGTTCCCAGAGAAAATGACATCACCATAAGTTGAATACAAAATTATATTTGTGTAATAGGTACAATAGGTAGATACTAGACCTACAAAACATACAACAAGGCAGCAACGTCGCGCGAGAAGTTCAAAAGTCCGGCTCTTTTTCTACGTTAGTGCACAACAGGGGACACTTACCACTATCCCAGTCATCTTCGTCGTTGTACTCATCCTCCGAAGTGTCTGCTTCGGAACTTTCGCTCGGGGTATCCTGCCGCGTTTCCTGGTGGAAAGTAGGGGTCACTAGCCAGCTAGGGGGCCCTGGATTTTTCGTCGGCACTTTGTGCATTAGAACCGTTACCTAGTGACAAAGAAATATCACATTAGAAACATATCGGTTCATCACAATCGCATAAACATAATAGTGACGGTTTTGAACGACTAAGAAAACTGTTTTTTATAAAATGCGAATGGTGTTTAATATAAAGTTTATGCTTGCACCATTGGAGGCTGTTGAAGAGAGTTAATGCTATTTTCCAAGAGGAAGAAAATATTTATTTGTTTTCTTTAAACATCGTAACTAACATCAGGCACTTTCGTAATCGGCGACTATTCGGCAAAGCTCGCCGACTATCCGGCTTCTTACTTTGTATATGTATTTATCAATACACTGTATATATGAGGAATTACACAAACTAAAAACTTTGATTGTTAATTAACATTATTATTTTAGAATTAGTCTTACACAAATCATCTTATCTTCATCAATAAACATTGACAAATATATTCTTCTTATTTAAATAAAAGGGTAGGAATTTGTGATATTAACAGACTTAGATTTGAGACTGGAAGGAATAGTTTGTGGTCGAGCATTTGATCATAGAACCTAACTGAGGTATTAAGGTTGAATGCCTGTATTTGATATTGTTGTTTATACTTGTAGTATTTGCTGTTTTTCCCTGTCCACCACGAGAATCATTTGGCACTGCTTACACTTGGCTCCAACTGGTAAAAATATTCATATGCGAGACTGTCTTTTTGACATGATTAAATTGTAATTGAGCTCTTCCATTTTAATGAACAAGATTAATTTTTTTCACAAAAATACTATTGTGATCCGTGCAAAAGCAAAAGTTAAGAAACATGCGAAGCAAGCAAAACTTGCGCTCAAATAAGCTGTAAACGAAGCATAACAGAAATTGTTGAATATCCCCGAAACCGTGATCGGCTTGGCCGACTAATCGGCCGACTAGAAGGCGTCCTTAAAACCGACTATTAGGCTAGTCAGCCAAAGTCATAGTCGGCACATCCCTGATCGTAACATACTGACGGGATAAATCTATTTCCATAATGGTACTACATATATGTAGAAGGATAGACGAGAAACATAGAGAAGCGGGAGAAACAAATGATAGAGACGTAGAGACAGAATGGAATTGTATTAAAACTTGTATGGATTCCATAGATGATATATTACAGATATTAAATAAAGCGTGATTATGAAACTGGAAAGCAAAAAGCTTTTGGGATTAATAGGAATACGGAAATATACCTAAGTGCAGGGTAGATGAAGGTCGAAAAAGGTACATACAAGGCGCGAAAAATGACAAGGAGAAGTTACTCGAAATTCAAGGCAGCCATTGATTTAAGAGTGCAACTGGTTTAGTTTATTTTAATCAAATTTATTGATGGTGTAAGACGTTTCGATAATATAAAGGATGGAGGACGATGGACACCAAATTCGTGTATTGTTAAGACAATATTGGACCAAAAGATTAAAAATCAAAAATTTATGGGGAAAATATGGTCAGTCAATGAGAGACAAAGCTTTGGTTTAATTAATTTATTACTATTTGCTAAATGTAAAATATGTATTTTCAAAATACTTTTTTCAAATAATTTTTTTTTAGTACCTATTTACTACATTCACTTAAGTATAAAATATTTTTTAAGAATACCTTGCAGGAATTTTCTAATTTTTTAAATATTGGAGTTTTTCTAGACTAATAGTGGTGTTTGCACTATATC